CTTTTGCCAGGCCCTCCAGGGCAGCCTCTCACCTTGCCCACTTTGATCACCTTCTTCACCGCGTCGGAAATCATGGCCGAGTGGTGCTCCAGGCTGGTCGGGAGAGAGAGAGGAGGGGATGCATCTCAGCAAGGGGTGGGGGGAGGACAGCTTGCCCTCCCCCCCCCCATGGGCAGGGAGCAGCCTCTGGGACGCCCGACTCAAGCCCAGCGGCCCTGGCTTGGGCACCTACTTCAGATGGCGCAGCATGTTGGCCGAGGAGAGCAGCATGGCCGTGGGGTTGGCGATGTTCCTCCCGACCGCCTGGGCAAAGGGATGACGGGCGCCCTGCAAAAGCAGCAGAAAGGTCCCTGCAGAGGCCTCCTCCTCCTCCTCCGGAAACCCCCCCTGCTGGCCCTGGCCACCCCCCCAGGAAGGGGAAGGGGGGCAGGCCCAGCCTGGTCCTCACCATCTCGAACACAGCGAAGTCGGCGCTGTAGCTCTCCCCTGGGACCACACCAGCCCCTCCCACCAGGCCGGCTGCCAGGTTGTCGATGATGTTGCCGTACAAGTTGGGCATGACCAAGACGTCAAACTGGTAAGGGTTCTGCACCAGCTGGAAGACACACCCACACATCCCTCTGGCTCCAGAGCCTGCCTGGGCCCAATCGGGCCAGAGACATCCCCACCTGGGCAGAGCTCTCCCCTGAGGGGCCGTTGGAGAAGAGGGCGGTGGGGGGGCTCCGCTCTGAAGCCCCCTGGAAGAAGTACAGGTCCCTTCCTCCCTCTCCCACCCCCCAGGAAACATCTTAACAACAAAGCCCCCTGGGCTCCCCAAAGGCCTGCATGCCACAGCAATTCAGTTTTTTGTCAGTTTCCGATCTCTCGTTTGCAGGGAGGATCCAATCTGGTTACCCATGTTGCTCAGCCACGGCCCGGGCGTGGCCTCCAAAGAGCAGCCCCCAGGAAGCTGTGGCCTGGCGATGCCAACATCGCCAGCCCAGGACCCACAGCTGCTGTGTGTGCTGGGTATCCCAGGAAAGGGGCCCCACCCCAATCCTAGACTTCAGGCCCTCCCTAAGCAGCCCCATTGGGGGAGGGGGCTAAAGGATGGATCTGCAGTGGCTGCTTAAAAGGCCAGAGAAGGTCCCACATGTGGAAAAGTGGGGAAATGGGGGGGGGGGGAGCTGACCAATTGGGGCCTGGATTTGTTCTTTTCTTCTGCAAGATCCAAAACGCCGTTTCCTTCTTTCTGAAAAATTATCTGGGCTCCCTTCACATAAAATTAAAGAGTTGGGACTCCGGCCCCTCGCCAAAGCCTCTCAGAGGAAGGGGCTCCTCTGCTTCTGCTCAAAGCCCCAACTAACTAGGACTAATATTGAGCCAGGATAATAAGCCACCATTGCTGAGTCTGCAGAGACCCCGTTCTGACTTCCAGATCCAACTGGAGCAAGAAGGGCTGGCACCCAAACCACAAATTATCCAATCTAATTTGGGATTCTAAACAGTCTTATATTCCCCCCCCCCCCCCCCCAAACTGCTGGCAGCTGCCCAGGTTGGCCTCTGTGGAAGAGGTCCTGGCCTAGCTGGTGCAGGCCCCCTGCAGAGCCCCTCCCCTCCCAGGCCCCCTGCCCTCCCAGCCTCTCAGCCAGGCCTGAAGCAGGGCAGCCCTACCTGCATGCAGCAGTTGTCGATGATCATGGTGTCAAAGGTGATCTTGGGGTACAGCTCAGCCACCTCCTCGCAGCAGCGAAGGAAGAGCCCATCCCCCAGCTTCCTGGAAGGACCACCACGAGAGGGACAAGTTCTCACAATGACCTGGATGGCCTGTAGAGCCAGGTGTGCTCCATGAGACAGCCAAGCCCCACTCCAGGCAAGAATGACCCAGCCGCAGCCTGAATCAAAGGGGCTGAAGAGACCCAGAGCACAGCAGCTTCTTGGCAAGCAGCGGAATCGGAAGGAATCGGAAGGCCTTGGAAGCTGCCGCGGTGGCTCTTCTGGGCAGAAGCATGGACACAAATGGTCCTAGAAAGGACCACAGCTTCTGACCACCTCGTGCCCCATGGTTGGTCCTTCTTCCCAGGCCCAAAATTAAGCAGATGGGACAAGGCCTGTCCAACTTTCCAAGGCCTTTCTGTACCAAGGAAGTGAAAGGGGGGGGGCTTCATCCAGTCCACCCCAACTTCTCCTATCTCAACACACGTTTTTGTTTTGTTTTTTAACATATAGTGGCCTACAGCAGGTTCTTTGGCTTGTGTCAATTTTGCTGCAAAGCAGGTGCCTCCATGGGCTCTCCAAAGATCCGAAGAGGTCATGGGAAGATCCTCACCCCCTCACTCCACCCCGACCCACCGAGGGAGGGAGGCTTACTCACATGATATTGGCCTTGTGCACAGCAGTGACCTTGTTTCTCCCTTTCTTGGTGGCGAAATCAAAGGCAAATTTGGCAATGCGCTGAGATTTGGCCCGCGTGATGATCTTCAGGCATTCGATGACCCCCTTTGCGCTCTGAACACAGAAAGAAGCACGAGCTGTCCGACTCGCTTCGGCTGGCCATTAAAAGGAGCAAAGCTCAACCACTCCAGAAGGAGCAAAGCTCAACCACTCCAGAGAGCCACATTCTGGATCAGGAGTCTGCTTTCTCTCCAACTGCAGCGTGGCCCAGAAGAAAAACCCAGGGAAGGCTTCGCTCGGTACTGCATTCTGGGAGTTGAAGTCCACAAGTCTTAAAGTTGCCAAGGTTGAACACCCCTGGTTTAAAGCCTTAAGCAAAGCCCTCCTGCTCACCTGCAGATTTGAAAAGACACTCCCAGGTTTCCCTTCAGCCTATGGCAGGTGTTAAGCGGGTTGACGTTTATCCTGCTGGAAAACTGACCTGACACCCCCTCGCCCTGCACCCCATCTATAGGTCCTCAGTGGTCCCTTTGGGCTGCTGCAGCCCCACTCCAGGTTCACTGGAGATGCCCCCCCCCCCCCCCCCCCCCCTGGGAGCCCCCCACCCGCCCCTCGCCAGAGGGGCCCCGACGCTCACCTCGTGCTCCAGGGAGCTGTACTCGCCCTCCGTCTGCTCACGGATGATGACCAGGTCCAGGTTGTTGTGCCGGGTTTTATAGCCAGGCAGGCTGCTCACGTGGACCACGTTGGCAAAGAGGTCAAGCTTGCGCCTGCAAGGAGGAGCCAGGGGTGGGAGGGTTCCATCCTGCATCCTTCCTGCTGACCCACCCACCCCCAACCAAAGGGCTGCAGGAGGTGAAGGGGGGGCAACGTACCTGAGCCTCATGTCATAGGAGGCCAGCTCCCCTTTGTACTCCATGGGGGTGTGGATCTTCCCTGCAAGGCCGAGAGAGCCCAGGCAGTGAGGGGGCTGGAGGGCAGCAGGCTCCCAGCCCCCTCCCC